CTGTCTCCAAAAAAAGTAACATGAGAGAATGAGGCAGGTGCTGAATGAAGAAACTGTACAGCAGGCACAGTCTAGGAAAGAAGTAAAGGCTGCCTGAGGACTCTTGTTCTAATTATCAGAACAAGTGTATGTTATCCCAGCACCTTATGTCTGTTGAGCACTTACCGGATTATGACCTGGTTCTACACACAGCATCTTCTTTCATCCTCAGAACAAGCCCAGGGGAAACTAGGCAAGACAGACTGGGCTTCACTTCTCTTACACAGATGAGGATTTGGAGCCCGGAGATGCACTGAGACTCCCTCAAAGTCAACTACAAGTTGCAGTTTCAAACAAGCACCCAGGTTTCATGACCCCTCAGCTAAGAGTTCTCAGCAAGGGCTGAGATGCATGTGAGAATCTCCAGAAAAGTGTTTCCAGCATATGGGATATCTATCCTGTGTGTAAAATGCCACTCCCTTTGATAGCTTTGGCCGTCGAAACCTGAATCTTAACTTGATTTTGTGCCCAGCATTGTGTTAACCACAGAGAGCCATAAAAAGAGCTCCTACCCTCCTGATGCCTAATATATATTTATACAGATGTGTGTGTATACAGATGTGTGTATATATATAGATGTGTGTATATACAGATGTGTGTGTGTGTGTGTGTGTGTGTGTATATATATATATATATATATATATTTTTTTTTTTTTTTTTTGAGACGGAGTCTCGCTCTGCCACCCAGGCTGGAGTGCAGTGGCCGGATCTCAGCTCACTGCAAGCTCCGCCTCCCGGGTTCACGCCATTCTCCTGCCTCAGCCTCCCGAGTAGCTGGGACTACAGGTGCCCGCCACCTCGCCCGGCTAGTTTTTTGTAGTTTTTTTTAGTAGAGACGGGGTTTCACAGTGTCAGCCAGGATGGTCTCGATCTCCTGACCTCGTGATCCGCCCGTCTCGGCCTCCCAAAGTGCTGGGATTACAGGCTTGAGCCACCGCGCCCGGCCTATATTTTTTTTTTTAAAGACAGTGTCTCGCTCTGTCACCCAGGCTGGAGTGCAGTGGTGCGATCTCGGCTCACTGCAAGCTCTGCCTCCCAGGTTCACGCCATTCTCCTGCCTCAGCCTCCCGAGTAGCTGGGACTACAGGCGCCCGCCACCACACTGGGTTAATTTTTTGTATTTTTAGTAGAGACGGGGTTTCACCGTGTTAGCCAGGATGGTCTCAATCTCCTGACCTCATGATCCACCTGCCTCGGCCTCCCAAAGTGCTGGGATTACAGGTGTGAGCCACTGCGCCAAGTCCTGGTGCCTAATATTTAAGGACAGATAAACATATCCTACATTAAAATATGATGAAGGATATACTAAGAACCTGGTGCATCTTACAACAGGAACACTGTCCCATGTTGGAGAATTTTTTTTTTTTTTTTGAGACGAAGTCTTGCTCTGTTGCCCAGGCTGGAGTGTAATGGTGCAATCTGGGCTCAGTGCAACATCCACCTCCTGGGTTCAAGCAATTCTTGTGCCTCAGCCTCCCAAGTGGATGGGATTACAGGCATGCTCCATCACACCTAGCTAATTTTTGTATTTTTTGTAGAGACGGGGTTTTGCCATGTTGGCCAGGCTGGTCTAGAACTCCTGACCTCAAGTGATCCCCGCCTCGGCCTCCCAAAGTGCTGGGATTACAGGCATGAGCCACCGCGCCCAGCCAGAGCTTCTTAATGTATATTTGTAGAATGAATAAATAAGTGAATCAATGAAATAAAAGTTAAGAGAGGAAGAGATGACTCTATCTGGGGCCATCAGGCAGGCTTCTAATCATCATTGAGATTGGACAGTTTAAAGCACAGCCACTCTCCATGTGTGTAAAATGCCTTGTAATCTTTTATTCCTCTTGTTATAGCTATTTTACTTCCAGGAATTTATCCCTACGGACTTGTCAGAGAGGTTAAAAAAAAAAAAAAGATTTATATTCAATATGTGTTGATTTATGTTCAACAGTGTAACTGATAATCGTGAAAAAGTGAAGCAGTCTTACTGGTTCAAGAGCAGGGAACAGTAGCCGTGCGTAGACGAGCGTCGGTCGGTCTGCGTGATGGAGTATTCTGCAGACGTTAAAAGTCATGTTGTCAGAGCACATGTGCCAATTGGGGAAATAAATATACATGGTAGGATTATTAAAGAGGAAAAGGGTTCCAAAAGGACCATATCCAGGATAATCCAAAATTTGTAAAAGCGCATGCACCTGTGTGTGTGTGTGTGTGTGTGTGTGTCTGTGTGCGTATGTGTGTGTCTATTAAATAATAGTGGTTCTCTCTGGAGTGAGATGAAGGTGATTTTTTATTTTCAATTCCCATATTTTCAAAGTGCAGTTTAAAAAGCAGCAGACTTTCTCCCACTGGGCCTTCAGGGACTTTGCGGGTTTGTAGATCTTTGTGGTCTATAAAGGCCTTTATTCTGAGTTTTTCTTCTGAGCACACGAAAGGTGTGTAATATACATCTGCACCCCAGAACCTGCTGGAGAGCGGAGAGCACAGAGGATGGGCTGAGCGGGGGCAATGTAATAATTTTAAAATGAAAAACAAAGGACATGCTGCTTATCCTGCATGCAGGTGGACCCCAAAGTAGCTTCCTCAGGTAGCAGCGGGGTGGCTGCCCAGGGGACAGTCCCCTCCTCCTCAGCCTCCTCAGCTGGCTGGATGCTCACAGTGCGCCCTTCCTGAGCTCTTGGCAAATGCACGTGTGGAACAGCCTGCTGCGGGAAGAAGCTGGAAGCCTCGGGGGTGTAGGGGAGTGAGGAAGGGCTGGACTTCCACAGGAGAAATAAAGTGACTTGCAAGCAACACTGGCTGTCCCCGTTCCCTCCCTGACTTACTGCCCTCTCAGCCTCCTTCTTACGGGGACTCTTCTGGAGGCGAGGCCTCGCTAAGGGCCCAAATTCTAGGAAAAGGGGCCCCTGAGGAGGGTTCGCCCTGCATGGAGGGGAGCACGTTTGTGTGTTTGCAGCAGCGTTTCTGTGTGCCGCTCCGGCTCCCCAACCTCACGGAGTCCTGGAAGCCTGGAAACGGTTTCATTCACTGTAGCCAGCACAGTGTCTGGGGCAGTGCGAGTGCTGTTCAGTGAGGTTTGTTCAGCGATTGTTTTGTACATGTTGAGAAGGAATCCACGAGCTCGAACATGACTCTTTTTCATCTCTTAGAAACGTGCTTTAGGAGGCCTGAAAACCAAGGCTGAGCCATGGCTGTGGCGGTCACGGTTGTGTGTAATAGGCCCAGGGCATGGGTCTGGCCTTGTGCTCCTTCTCCACTGGGAATTAGGGATTAATCCCAGCAGGCGTTTGCAAATGCAGACCTTTGGTCCTCTTGTCAGGGAGTCTGAAATGTTGCAGACCCCTGCCCAGGTTTTTGTTGTTGTCTCTTCTCCCAAATGTGATTGATCGATTCATTCATTCAGCTAATATTGGTTGAGCACCCACTATGTTCCAGGTTCTGTTCTAGCTGCTGGGGTTATAGAACAAGAAACATTCATGGGTGTTAGGAGCCCTGCAGCCACTGTCGGGTCAATGCATTTACACTCCAAGTGCCCTATAGATTTATAAGGGTTTTCTAGAAACACCACCTTCGGCTAGAAAAATAAGTGGGAGCGTCGGACACTGCAAAGGTTCTGCATCGATGCGGAGGCATTTTCTCCAGCCCGGTGCAGGGATAGCCTGATCTGCCATTGCTGGACAATGACATTGCCTTGTTTTGTTTTTTTATGACCTTCTAGTCTCAGGGGTGTCTGACCAAGTGCACCATGGTGCCAAGGTAGGCAGAATGGCCACTGTCCTCCCTGAGACAGAAACAGGATCAAAAAGTATGGAAAGAATAAAAGAAAGAACAATTTGGATAGTTTAATGGTTTGAGAGACAGATATACCTAAGAATTGTATATTTGGATAGTTTTTTCCCTAATGAGAAGTTACGTCTGATGACCACACAACGCACATCCTTCCCAGAGATGAGAGGCTCTGATGTGAACTGGGGACAAGATGTATTATAGGCTGTGACAGGCCAGCAGAGCACTGAGAGAGTCTTCAACTGGGAGGAGTGAGGGCATTAGAAACAATTCTGTAACAGATGCTGCCTTTCCGTTCTCTTCTCCAAGGGGATGATCAGTTTGGCAGCGCCTCCACCTGCTCTTCTAGCTGAAGCTATTATGTGTTTAGAAAATCCTCGCGGCTTCTGCTCGGTCGACCCAAAGGGAGCCCAAGAAGGTCTTGTCTAGGATCTGGGGAGAAGAAAAGCAGGGAGCCTGGGAGATGTGTGTGTCCAGGCAAGCGTGGCGCAGGGGGAGGCAGGGACTCAGAGAGGGGTCTCGCCAGGAGGGAAACGTACTTGCTCTGAGTGGCCACCCTGCCCTATCTCTTGGGGCTGTGGAGCACTCAGTTGATTGGATGAATGTGGCACCAGCATCTGGGAAAGTCCCTCATTGCTGTTCGGAGGGAAATGTCTGCAGTGGAGGGAGACTGTCCTCAAGGGAAGGGGCTACCCTAGGAGACCTTTTTCTAGTTCTGATCTGTTTTTACTTTCTTGCCTGAATGTGCCCAGTTACAACTGAGACCAAGCACCAGTGTAGCGGCGGCCCATGCATCCAGGCCCAAGCAATCTACAATGACTGCAAATTCCCTTATTTTATGTGAGCTCCAGAAACACTGGACTGAGGGAGGCCAACACAAAATATCCCATGGTCATCACAAGCTTCTCCACGCTTTTCCCAGCGTCCGACCCTCAGGCGTGCAGCACAAGTCCAGGGACTCTGGGACTTAGCTGACACCTCCACTCACTCCTGGCTGAGCTGCTGAACTTGTTGGGGGCCAGCTCCACAGGGCGACTAGACAGGCCTCATCCCATGAGGTCCTGAGAGGTCTGGGGGCTAGACTTGGGCCAAGGTGGTGCTGCAGTGAGGAGCACCTAACTCTTGAATTGCTTTCCCCCGAGGTACAGAAGGAGAAACTGGATAGAGGAATTCACGACTCTGGGTAGAATAGAAGTGAACATTTAATGCCACCATAGTTTGATTTTAACACCAGATTCTTTTTTGACAACATTTTACACCTCATATGCCACAGAAAGTCAGAGATCGTAGCCAGCAAACAATGTCTTTACACTGGAAAATGCCACACAGCTTAATGGACTCATGTCACCAGTTTGTGAGAACTATAACTCTTTTTTCTGGACTGTTCTCCAGGGAGCCTGCTCATATTTATCATAATCAAGCCAACACCTAACGTTTATATAGCTTGCAAAGGCCCATGCACAAAACCAGCCTGCCAAGGGGCTGCTGGGACCTGCCCAAGTACAGAAGAGTTGAATTTCTGACTATAACAAATGAGTTTTATTAAAGAATTTTAACAGCACACACTTGTGAACTAATAATGTTTTAAATGGCACCAGTCTTCCATCCGGTTAAACAGTGGATTTCAGACAATAACATTAAGCACTACCATTGAATTGTAAAATAAGATTTTATGAACTTATTTAGGAATTCGCTGTTTCTGGCACGATAAATGCACCTGGGCAGGCCTCGCCTCCACGTTTCAAATGGGCCCGTTTCTACAGATAAGCATATTTATATATACATACATACATACATTACTAATCATGGAATTCGAGATCCAGAGCTTGAAGGAACCACAAAGGTCATCCAGCACAATGTCTTCCTTTTACAGGTTAGAAAACTGAGTTCCAGAGGAGTTAGGAAGTATATCCCGGACAGGATGACTGGCAAAGCTGGATGAGAACTCAGGTTTGCTGTCCTATGGCCTTTTCACCACATCAGGTATCTCCTGTACACACACATCCATGTATGTACACACACCTTAGAGGAATGATATCTGTTCATGTCCACGTATGCCTGGTGCAATATGATCTAATGGGAAGAATCCAACAAGCTGGACTCAAGTCCCCGTTTTGCTATAAAACCACTCTGTGAACTCGGGCCAATCAATGACTAGACTTCAGTTTCTTCATCGGTAAATGATTACCCCCAGCTCCTACACAGAGCTTTAAAGTCTTCGAAGCACTTCCCATCACTTATACCACTTTCTCTTTATGCTCTCCCAGAAGGGCAGCTGTTCTCACCCCTGGTCTTCCACTCGGGAACCTGAGGCCCAGCAAAGTGAAGAGGCTCGCCCAAGGTTGCATAGCTAGTAACACAACCAAGCTGGCGGCCCAGTGTCCTTGCTCCTAGCTCAAGGCCTTTGCTCCTAGGTTTAGCTACCTCTCAAATGAGATTACTGACCCAGCCCCTCCCTGCCTCTTGGGGATCCAGTGAGGGGACAAAATGCCTTAAGGCTGTAAGACTCACTAAAGTGCTTTGGTTTTTCCAGAGGAAAAACAAAAAACCAAAAGAAAAACAGGTACTATACATATCCAAGCTAAGGAACTCTTGGCTGCTTTCCCAAACTCCCTTCGGTAGCACCAGGGGCTGGATGGGAGTCTTAGGGAATGTAGGGAACTAAAAATGTCAGAACTTTCCTCAGAAATTTAATGTCGAACGAGTGGGAAGAGGCTGGATCCTCTTCCATGCAAGCCGGTGGACGTGGATTTCCAAGCCCATTCTCATCAAATTCAAAATGAAGGAGTCTTTCCCATTTGGCTACTTACTACACAAACAGCTTAGATTTTGAACTAAGCCCTGTGCATTGAGGATTGGATCCTAATCCCTATCCTCTTGATTTATCTGTCCTCCCCCCATCCCCCAGCGCATGTCTCCACTAACAGACTTTGCTTGAGTGAGAAAAACATGGAAAAAAAATAGCCACAGACAGATCCAGCAAACCTCCACCTCGATGCACGGCACGTGGATAACATTTCCAACCGCGACGCATACGTAAATGAGAGAACACACGCAACGCCGTAAAACAACATCCTGAGTTCACAAATAAATTTTAACTTCTTCATAAATCAACTATGACAGTGTGGGCTGTTAGCAGGATAGGGAATGAAAGAAGGAAGCTTCTTTGAAGGTAATTTCTATGTATGCATGGAATAGATGTGTGAGTGTGGTGCTTCAGTACTCGCCTCCACACGTGTGGACCTTGGGAGCAGCTGTGTTTAGAGAATAAGAATTGTATGCAATGAAGGCTGGATACTGCCCCAAGCCCCACTGTGTCCAGTGTTAGGACGTTGCTGCAGCTTCTGGCCACCCAAAAGCAGAATGTGTTTGTTTAGAGAGGGATAAATTAGTTTCTAGGAATTTTCAGAAAAACATTTTTCTCAGAAGATGAGCTTAAATGACAATAGCTTCTCCTGGATTAGAATTATGCTTGCATTGTGATGGAAATAATGAACAGCCTGTAATTTTAAAATGTGTCATTTTGTCAGGAAGATTGCTAAGCGATGCACTTTATGAACTGTTACCCACCAATGTTGACAGATACTTTCTGGAGGTGGAAAAAGAGATATTAGAATCCAAAGAAACACTGTGTCTACCGCCTGCCCCCCAGCCCCCCCAAAATCTGAGACCCATTTACTTGCATCAGTGGCACTGAACACCCAGCTTGGTTTCATTTGGTGCAGAGAAAAGTGGGCTGTGTGCCTTTCCTCCCCGCCCAGACTCCCATGTGGTGGCACTGAAGAGTGTCCTCCAGTGGGGGCACAGCTGGGCCACACACCCCGGTGGCAGCATGGAGGCCCCAGGGACGGCGGCAGCAGACGGCTTAGCCTCAGCTAATAGCCAACAGGACTTTCAACCTCTTTCTCACTGGCAAGGTTGCAGGGTTTAAGACGTATTGTCTTTAGAAGCGAGGGACTCTGTGTGTGCTCCAAGAACGGGTTACTAGTCTAGCAGGAAAGAACAATGAGTAAAGGCAGGACTCCTTCGTTTTCAGTCTGGAAATTAACTCATCTTTAGTCATTTTACAGTCTAAAAGCCTTTTTGGAATAAGAAACGTAAAAAACCTAGAAACACTCAATATAATCAGCAGTGGCCAATGATGTAGGCGGCTGTGTTTGCACTGAACAAATCCGCAGACTTGCCAGCCTTGCCTTCGATCCAGAGAAGGTGGCTGGTTTACAAGGACATGAGATACACACCCAAGTGAGCACAACTGCATTTTTTGTCAATACAAACAGAACTCTTGAGATTTTGTCAGAAATCTGAGCAGCAAGTGTGAGACTTGTAGGTGCGTATAAGACTTTTTGAACCTCTACTCTGGATGGTAGATGCGGCTGGACTGAAGCCACTGCCGTCTTCTAAGAATATAGTAGACTTCAAGTTTAAGGCTAATTTATGACAAACCAGGCCAGATTCCTGCCTGCCGAATTCCCCACGCTGCGATGCCTGGCTTTTTATCGCAGCTTCTCATGCGGGAGCCCCTTCTCCGGCTCAGGGATTCCCACCTTCGTCAAGACGGACACGTCTCTGCATTTGCATCCTAATGCTCCCCCACGTTAAGAACGGCAACTGGCGAATAAACAACAGGAGAGTGCTCTGATTTCCAATCCGGAAGAGATGAAAGACACAGCTTCCCCATGATGCAGAGGGGAATTCAAGGACAATAAGATCAAAGTTTGCACTCGCGGGTGGGAACTGAAAGCCCGTGATGAAGCAAACGCTCACGCCCTCTCAGCAGGCAGCACCATCCTGCAGTGCGACACGGAGGGACTCCCAGGGAAACAATAGCACCATTGCCTGTTTTCAGATCTTAGTTTTGCTCTGCTGCTAATGCTTCCGCCTCCTATATTTGGAGCAGGGGGTGAGGAGGACAGGTTTTAGACAAGGAATTAAGACCTATGCATCTAAATGTGAATTTCAAATATTTTTTTCTAGTCCTTTCGTTTGTGGGTAATGAAATAGAAATAGGTTCTTTGACATTTTGACATTTTCCCCGTGCCTCCTCGGGTTCTGTGTCACCAAAACCGAGAGGCGACCTGGAACTATCTCACGTCTGGTCACTCCGTGCCCGGGACTGCTTCAGAACGGTCAGCCAGAACTCCCTCCTTCATCATCATCGTCCGTTTATAGGCAGAGACAGGAACAAGCACATCATAATGTAAAATGCCCGATTTCTTCACCTGGTTTATCAATATTGGTAAATTAACATGTTTGCAGCTTATTTCGGTCAAAAAAAAAAAAAGCAAAGAGAAGAGAGAGAGAATAGACAACATCAACATCAACATAAAACATTCTCCTTCACCGCGGCCTGCGGGATCCTGCGAGGTGTCCTGTGATGGGCATCTTGGGAAGCCAGTCTGACTTGGTAAGAGAACTCTTGGTTTTATTCAAGCTTCTATTATAGCATAAAGTTGCTACAAATGGATAAATTCAGGCAGGAGGCAAGCCGAGTGCCACACGCCTCGGAAGGAGTCCATCGGTTTCAGTCCAGCAAGGGCACCAGGCTCTGTCACTGGCTAAAGAAAGGAGGCACAGCATGGAAGGAACCTCAGGGGAGGACGTGGCAGCGGCGAAAACCAAGCTCACCGATGACCCATCAGATGAGTTTGTTTCCAACAAAAACAGAATATTCACCTTTGAAAATCTCCAATTAAAGACTTTTCATGAACTACACGTTTAAAACCAGCCACCAAAAGAGATTGCCCGACGGAAAACTCGAAGGATTGGCTTCCCTTTGGGTCCAGACGCTTCCAAAGATATTACTGTTAAGCAAACTCACTTACACAAGTGCTGTGAGGGCCAGAGGTGAGCCCAGAGCACGCGACTGTCCTGCAGAATGGGGTCAAGGCGCAGGAGCTTAGGGAGGTCCTGCTTCCTAGGGCAACAAACTTATCAGACTTGGGAGATGCATAGAAGGGAGACTGAGCCATGCCAGAGCAGCCTCTCCCTGCAGTTGAGCCTGTTCAGCTGGCAGATGTGGGCATGTCTCCTGTTTGTACAGAAGCAGACTCTTAGGAAAGGTGCAAAGCCAGACTCGTGACCCAGGAGCTGGCTTCCGCCAACAGGGCCACCTGAACCCTGTTCTGATAACAAAGGAGCAGATCATGTGAAGCTCACAAGACTTTGGTTCCCATTTACCGAGTTCAGCCAGCTGTGTGGGCTGCAGCGTCCAGAGGTACACTGAGCCAGAAATGTAGCGTTTTTTTCCCCCCTTGGGGAGTGGCTGGGGCTGAGTTGTTGGTTAATAAAGGCAGCCTAGTTGGAAACAGGCTCATGAAGATATGCTGCATTTGAGGGCAAAAGGGAAGCGTACTCTGCAAATGCCTAAGCACTGTCCTTGATGTGAAGGCTGCAGGGACTCCTGGCTTCCAGGCTGTTCTATCAGCACCACAGCTTTGATCAGGCAAATCCCTTGACCACTCTGGACCTGGGGATTCTATCGATCACTAAAATGGGTGTAATTCCTAAGGGAATTGTTACAGGGAGGAACACCTAAATTTGAAGTCCTGAGTTATTGGGAGCCAAAACCTGGACATCCATCTCTTCAGCTATGTTCTGCCTCTCCAGGGTTGTGGGAGTTATGGAGGGGAAGCTCTGCCTTTGGGTAGGGGCAAAGACTGATATCCAGGGTTGTGGGAGTTATGGAGGGAAGCTCTGCCTTTGGGTAGAGGGGCAAAGACTGAGAGGACAAGCCCGTCCCTTCTTGGCGTAGAGGCTCTGGGACGTAGGAGAGCTGAAATCCTTGGACTCTGGACAACAGACAAGATGTACCGTCTCAAGAACCCTTGTTCTAATCCAATACAGGTGAAGTCTCTGAACAAGCCTGAGGAGGTCTCTCAGCTGGGGTAAATCCTACTTTAGTCAATTCACAACACTAGAAAATACAGCTCTGGTGAACTGGTTCCAGCTTTCCTTCAAGTCTTTGGAATAAAAATGAATACGAATTTTGAGGGCCAGGCAAACTGTGGATTTGTGGGTCAAGGAACCATATGTGTGTGAGGACTTGAGGGGGGCAAACTGTCTACAGAACACACAGCCCACCTCCCAGGAGCAGGGAGGACCCAGGTCGCAAAGGACTCCTCCTCCCCAATGCTGCAGCGTCCGGCTCCTTGCCCGTTCTCTAAAGCACCTGCCCCACAATCAACCTTCTGGGTCTGCCCTGACCACGCTGCTTGTTGGGACATGGCATCGAGGTCACCTGCTGCTCCAAACCTACTTTGGAAACACACACTGGCTCGTGCCGAGGAAGCCTCTTGTTCTGTTTGAGTGGCCTCACCAGAATAACCATAAAAGACAGGTAACATTTATTCATAAGCAATACTGATTAGGAAATAGCTCTACAAACACAACTTACTTAGAAACAGCAAGTCAGAAATAGGATAAAACACCAAGAGAAAACGAGCTGTGAATACATTTCCAAAATGTTTTTGTTTTGTTGTTTTCATCTTGACTAGCACCATCTGTACACAAGAAAGTATGAACATAAATGTTTGGATAATAATAAAGATTTGCAAGGCACTTAATCAGTCATTCTGGGTCTTTTTGTTGTTGTGTTCACTTTCCACAGCAATCCTACATCCGCCCCGCTCCTCTCTCACGAAAGTAAGAGAAGAGTGAGGTCTCGTTCACTAGCAGTTCTTATGTACAAACAAGGTAAGGTTCCTCAAAGTGCTTTTTCAGTCTCGCAGGGCGGACACCCCTCGGGCTTCCCATCCTTTTCTCCTTCCATGGGTGTTTGACGTTTGCGCCTTTCCTACAGAAAACAAAAGAAAAGAAAACTCGCCTTCGCTCAACGCTCGCTCCAGACTTGCCACCAACCTTCATCCTCATTCATTGTCTTTGATGCCCCGGCACAGAGGGCCTAGGGGCGTGCACTGTCTCTGAAGTCCTGGGGAGCGGGGAACCGCTAGGACAAGGGGCTGGCTCCTCTACCGGCGCCTGGAGGTGATGTCGAAGCAGGTGATCATCATGAGATGGGCCTTGCAGAAGTTGACACGGCTCTCCAGGCGCTCCGTCACACACTCCAGGGCCTCCAGGTACTCCAGGGAATCCAGCTCCCAAACCTGCTCCAAGTCAACTGCAAGAGAGGAAGAGCTTGATGGAGACACAGAGCAAACAGAGTGCGAAGCATCTCCCAACGGCTCAGCCTGGAGCTGCCACCCCCACATCTACCCCTTGGTCTAAAGATCTAACTCGCCTGCCTTAGGCCACCGCAGGGTTCCCTCCTGCCCGATCCTCAGCCTCTTTTGGGTGGAACGGAACACTCTTTACCAGTGTTTAGATCCTTAACGTGTGTTTGAGATTCTACTGACTAACACGGGGACATTCTCGCTTCCCCTACCTCCAGCCATCCCCATTGCAGGATTTGAGAGACTCTACCACGCTATTCACTATCAAGTAAATACTTCAAGCTGAGGTGGGGAAAGTCCCTCCCTTCTGGGGGTCTCAGTTGAGTGACAGTTATACTTCTGCCCCCTTTTATGAAAGGATGTTTCTGGATTATAACCCAGATACCTTTCCTGATGTTCAGGCCTGCACAGAGTAAAAAGTCTGTATCCTTCAAGGCCTGAAGAACAAGTATCTGGAATCAACCCCTTCTGGCATCAAGTCCCCTACTTTGTCTAGAGGTGGCTGGGCAGAGGGATGGGCTGCCTGGCCCAGGCTCCAGGGGTCCAGCAGGCTCCCAGTACGAGGAGGAAAGGCATGGACAGCAGCCAAACCTGGAACCCCAGGCACGAGACGAGCTCTGGGACCTCCACGTTGGCTGACCCAGTGTCCTTAAAAGGAATGTGAGAGTAGTAATTCCTACCCTGCCTGCCCTGAGTTGCTGTGAAGAAAAAATGAGACAATGAACATGAACTTGATTGATTTGAAAACGATGCCACACTATGGAAACATTGGGGATTAGAGTTGACGTCTGCAGAGTGTCTTCTTTCTGCAGATGAGGTCCCTGAGAGCTGGACAGTGACATGACTCAGAGGCTGATGCAGTTAACCAGGACTAGAGCTGGAAGGAGACCGAAGGCCCTGAATACCAGTGTAATATTTAAAAACCAAAACAAAAAGCAAAAGGAGCCATCATTCTATGACCACATCAGACTACATTACTAGACAACCTTGAAAGTGGCATCAGAACGAAGAAATAGAACTAAAAATGGATCTTTCCATGCCAGTCCCCTGCCTCTTGCCCACAGGGAACAGTCAGCAGGCAGCCTCATTGATCCTTTTTTCCATTACTGTTTTCAATTCATCTTCAAGAAACAATCTGTGTTTCCCCTTTCATGTAGCTTTCTGTTCATTTTCTTTCTCAGCATCAAAAACACAGTGATTTTGACATATGTACAAAGACTAGAAGGAAGCGGTTGTTTCCTGGAAGCAGCTAAACACGTACGTATTAATGTTTCAGCTTGTTCCCATCCTGGGAAAAAACACAACTTTGTAAGATGAAGATAATTTTCAAGTCTGCCCTGGGCATAAACAGTTCTTAAAAATAAAATGTTAATGAAAATAGCAAAAATGAAGGAGAACTGACAGAGAACTGACTGAAAGGAGGCCCCTGGGATCTTTAAGTGGCCAGGGATTCCTGAAACAAGGAAAAGGGTATGCGCAGCGGGGGGGATAAGCACAGGGCCCTGTGCGCATGTCACGGGCAGACAGTAACCAATGCCCTCGCCCCGTCTGCCCTCCCCATTAGTGCCCTCGATGAAATGCCCTCACAGGACAAGTTCATGTCTTTGCTCACATTTCTAACAGAAGATCCAGCTCAGTGCATCAGGCAAGCAGGCATGAAGGAAATGCCTCCTGTTTTTTTATTTGTATTTTTGAGACAGGGTCTCACTCCGTCACCCAGGCTGGAGTGCAGTGATGCAATCTCAGCTCACTGCAACCTCAGCCTCCTGAGTAGCTGGGATTACAGGTGCCTGCCACCACACCCAGCTAATTTTTGTATTTTTGGTAGAGACGGGGTTTCACACCACGTTGTCAAGGCTGGTCTTGAACTCCTGGGCTCAAGTCATCTGCCCACCTTGGCCTCCCAAAGTGCTGGGATTACAGGCGTGAGCCACCGCACCTGGCCAGGAAATGTCTCCTGTTGTTGAACTTTGGGATAATACTAATAATTACTAGCAGATCCTGAGCTCTCATCCTGGGCCAAGCAGTGTAATAAGCACCAAGAGGACCAACAGGTACTGATCCACACCTCACAACTGCCCTGTGGTGTAGTCACCATTATTTTTCCCATTTTACAGCTAAGGAAGTCAAGGCTCAGAGTGAAGTGTCTTTCTTACCCGAGGTCCTACAGCTGGTCTGTGAGAGAGCCAGCAGCCAAAGCAGGTCTGTATGCCTGTGGCCACAGCTGCAAAGGCTGCAACTTACTATTACAGGATGCTCCATAGACTGTCCCAAGAATCCAGTGAGTCCTTAGGGAAATGTTAGCACCTTTTTCCTAGGGAGAGGCAGCTGCCGGGAGACTGCGGTTACACGTGGCAGCATGGCCGGGAGGCCGACAAGTCCTGCCACTTTCTTCCCCACCTTGACCCAGGACCGTTTCACCCCAATATCTTTTCAACCAGCTGCTTTGGAACATAAACCTAAGCTTCCAGCCTCTGCCTGCAGGCCCTCCGCACTGGCCAGGGAAGACCGGAAGAGGGTGGGGGCCGTGCGGGGGAGGGGCAGTACAAAGGAGGCCTGCCAGAGGCTGAGGGCAGGATGGGAAGGGGAGGCAGAGGGAACCTGAATGGCAGGAATGTATTTGACCCCACAGACTGAGTCGTCCAGCATTAGCTCCTGTATCAGTGTAATAGCTGGGACCAGATTGAAGTTTTATTTTGTGCTAAATGGAATGGTCAGGAACAAATAAGTAAGAGACAATTGAATCCATCTTTCAAAGAGAGCAAAATTGTCCTGAATTGTTATTAGATGGTTACGGTCATCCTGGGCTATTAAATGGAAATAATCCTGTGGCTGTCGTTTTTTTTTTTTTTTTTTTTTTTTTCACTCAAAAATGTTTTCCTTGCTTTCTGGGTCCTCTGCGCAGCTTTTCTAGGACGGTGCACTCTAGCCTATTGAGGGCTCTATAAATTCTTGTCTATTTCAGGCTAGATATGCAGTGTGATTTGGGGCCGAGGAGCAGATCTGTAACAGTCTTCATGTCTGGGTGATCTTCCGCCACAAGCAGGGGGAAAAATCTCATTTTCAGGTGCTTTGGACTGAGACACGTGGGAAATAATCTTGCAAGAGCAATATTCACCACCTCTTGCTGCCCCGGCCCTCCCGCCTGCCCCCGGGGAGTAGGCTGCTGGCTGGGTGCAACTTCCTCCACGTGGTGGGCATCCTGGGACCGAGGAGGTGGACGCAGCCTCTGTCACTGGCTCCCTGGGCTATGCGCCAGGCCTGGTGAGCGGGGGAGCCCAGTAGTTGCGAGGGAGGGAAGGAACCCCGGCCTTACATTCACTGAGCCACTTGTTGGGATCCAGCATCAGGTACTGTTTGGTCGCCTCCAGCTCCTTCATCAGCCACTCGTACTTGGCGCGGACCTCGGCGATCCTCTGCTGGCGGTGTTCCAGAATTTTCAGCTTGGCGTTGAAGCACATGACCTCCTAGCACACAGACAGAGAGGAGAAAGGGCCCTTCTGCTCACGCCCAGCCCACGCCACAGGGAGCACCTGTGAGTATCGTTGATGGAAAACAGGCTGGGGATGGAGACGTGTGGGAGGGACCCAGGTGATCTCGGCCACATTTCTGCCTCGACAGGCCAGTCAGTTCAGACACCTCACAACGTAGGACTATGACAGGCCATTCTTGGACTATGACAGGCCATTCTTAAATTGAGAAAGCAGGTGGTGGGTGTTTCAAGATGGACAAAGGCTGGTTAAGACGGGGAGCCTCAAGGAGCCAGAAAAGCCCCCAAGATCATCAGCCCCCACCCCTGGCTTTGGAGCCTTTACAACATTTCAGCAAGAGAAACACGGGGCTCTCTCCACAGCCTCTGTCCAAAGGCCCTTTGCTGGGACAGAAGCCCCCTTCCCACCACCCGAGCCAGAAGCCGGCTGGGAAGCCTGGGTCTGGGCCGTCTTCCCCAGGGCCCTGCCTGGGCCCCCGTGTGGGTGGTGGGGGAGGCTGCCTCACCTTGCTGGCGCCCCCTCGTCGCCGCTGCAGGCGCTCCACGTCATCGATTTCATAGACTTTAATCTCAAAGGGCTCCCCAAGGCCCCTCTGGCTGCTCCGCAGGGGGCCGTCCACCCAGCGGACGCCTGTGCTGTTGGTGGGTTTTCTCACAGGGGAAGAGGTGTCCAGGGATAGTGCTGGGATAAGCCTCCGTCTCTGAGAACCTGAGGAGGGGATTAAGCCCAAAGAGTTAGTCTTTCTGAATTTCAATTTTTCTTTTTTTTTGGAGATAGGGTCTTGCTATGTTGCCCAGGCTGGAGTGCAGTGGTGCGATCATAGCTCACTGCAGCCTTGAATTCCTGGACTCAAGCAATTGTCCTGTCTCAGCCTCCTAAGTAGTTGGGACCACAGGTGACACCACCACACCCAGCTTTTTTTTTTTTTTTTGGTAGAGATGACATCTTGCCATATTGCCCAGGCTGGTCTCGAACTCCTGGCCTCAAGTGATCCTCTCCACCTTAGTCTCCCAAAGTGCTGGGATTACCGGTGTGAGCCACTACACCCAGCCTGAATTCAATCTTTTAAATATTTTGTGGATGTAACAGATGAGGTCATGACAAGCACCCCAGGATCTGAGGCAGGACTAAACACTGCCACTTCCCACCACCCACCTCCACCTCTCCTCCCCTAAGCCGACACTTGGGCTTTAGCTCAGCCAACTCCCAGGGGAATCTTTAGAACTGCCTCCTAGTTCCACCTGTGAAACATGCAGCTTAGACCTGTGAGCCACACTGGCACATCCTCAGCATGGATGGGTCAAAAGGTCCGAGCGTTTGATGTCATTACAGGAGTTCCAGAAAACACTGTCGATTTGCTTATAACAGCAGCAGCACTGACATGCGCCGGTTACGTGCCAGGCACTATTTCACATGCTTCACACACTGTGACAAGCACTGCCAGTGCTCTCTCCCAGTATCTATTCTCTTTCTTTCTCAGCAGAAGAGACCCTGGGTATTAGTGAAACACAAGGCTCCCGGAATGGAGACTAAACTCTTGCATGGCACAGGGGACTGCAGTGTTGATGAACAAATGTCAGTTGAAGCATGTCTCCTCCAGAAGACAACAAGGAATGCTCACTACTGTGTTAATTTTCTCTATGAAGTGAACTCAGGGATCTGAGCTCCTTTTGCTTCATATTAAATCTCACTTTTTTTGACAGGGAGTCTCACTTTGTCGCCCAGGCTGGAGTGCAGTGGCATGATCTCAGCTCACTGCAACCTCCACCTGCTGGGTTTCCCTGCCTCTGCCTCCCGAGTACCTGGAACTACAGGCGCCGCCACCACGCCCAACTAATTTTTTGTATTTTTAGTAGAGACAGGGTTTCACCGTGTTGGCCAGGATGGTCTCGAACTCCTGGTCTCAAGTGATCCGCTTGCCTCAGCCTCCCAAAGTGTTGGGATTACAGGCGTGAGCCACCGCACCCGGCCAAAACCTCACTTTTTAGAGCCCAGATTTGATCTTATGTATACACATACACAATCACGTTTAGTTTCCAACAAAGTGCAGGCCCCAACTAATGAAACTAAGCAACATCGACCACTGGAATAAAGCAACTGTCTGTCTCCTTAGTGTCTGAGACACTTACCCTGGGAAGTGACCAGAGCAGAGTTTTGGGTTTTTTATTTTAAATCAGTCTGATCAAGCTAGCTGACTGTTGGCAAACTGTTTAGCTTTTCTGTGCCTCAACTCTAGCTTCTGTCCCATGGAAGGAACCTGTGAAACGGCTGGTGGGTAACAAATTAACCCCAAACCCTGTGGCGAAAACAGCAAATATTCATCTCACATATTCCTGTGGGTGGGAATCTGGGAGTAGTTTTCGCCAGGTGGTTCTCAGGTTCTCAGGGCCTCTCAGGAGTCAGCTGGGGCTGCACTCATCTGAAGGCTTGACTGAGGCTGCAGCTTCCGTTTCTAAGCTCGCTCATGTCATCACGGCGGGAGGCTTTAGTTCACTGCCACGCAGGCCTCTCCTGCACGGGACTGTTTGTGACATGGCAGCTGGCTTCCCCCAGAGGGAGTGACCCAAGAGAGCACGAGGGGCACCCAGCACAGAAGCTGCAGCGTCTTGTATAACCTGCTTATGAAAGTGACATACCGTCACGCTGCCACATCCCACTCAACACAGAGACCAGCTCTGGGAAATGCAGGAGGGTATGAAGGCAGAGACCATGGGGGCCATCTTGGAGCCTGGCTACCACTCCATCTCCTGCCAATACCCATGCCAGGGCACCATGTGAGATGGGAGTAGAGAAAGTAAAAACACCTGGAGAGTGACATTTCCCTGGGCTACAACAGCTTCATAGAAATATCCTGGCAGGTATCTAATTCCCAATGCCTCCTTTCCATGCCATCCAGCAACCTGGAACTTCCTCACCACATCGATCCCTCCCAAGGTGGGAAGTGAGTGCCCACTGTCAGGTTAGGTGTGGTTTGGGGGCTAGGAATGCCTTCTTCCTGCACACAAATGAACAAGTGTCTTGGATTTTTGTAAACTTTTGAATTTAGGTACCAGAACATCAGTCCCGTGAATGGATTGAGATTCCGTTCCTGCACCTCCAGCTGAGGCTCCCTCTCCCCGCGCCTGTCTCCCTCCAGAGGTGCATGTGAGCCTCACTTAGGTAATGATGAGGGTAAGCCAAGTACTGGGACAGGGGTAATGTGGTCAGGCTGAGGAAATGGAGGGAAGTGCCCTGAAGGCAGTTCAGGGGCAGAGTGGTGCCCTCACGTTACTGGAAAGGGCACAGGAAGCGATGGTACTGATATGCCATCCCTGGGCAAAGACCGACCCGAGGACCTTGGTCTGGGGCCCCATATAAATAAGTGTTCTTAGATTTTCTGCATGCTCCAGCATCTCCACTTTTCAAGCAGATGCCCGGCTTTCTGCCAAGCCCAGTCTCTGCCAGGGATCCCCTCCTTCCAGGCTGTGAGTGGGGTCAGGTCACCATCAGCTCTAAGAAAGGTGTAGGGGGAGCCCCACCCTGGCGAGAGTCGTGCGGTGCCCCACTGGATGCCACCTGTCTGATCGGGGAGCACACGGCCAGGGCCAGCCTCCTGCTGCTGCTGGTGGGCTGGGCTCCCTCCTGCTTCTCGACCCCTCCCTGCTCATCAGCCTGGCATCCGGTCCAGGCATGTACAAGTGCAGTATGTTCAAAGCACTTAGGCTGATACCTGCCAACATAGATTTACCACATGAAATGGTCCAGATTTGACCTGAGAAAGTCAACACTGATACTTCAAGGAAACTTCCAACCAGGACCTCTCCCACTAGCAGAGGCTGAGCCCACCCCTCGCCCCTCCCGTTCCAGGCCTGGCCGACAGCTGCGTGCAGTAAGAGGGGTGGCGGACCCATCCCAGTCCATCTTCCTGGATCACCTGCAGCGCTGACAGCCCACGTGAGAAGCTGACATTGGGTCTTCTACTCTCAACATCCCGGAGTCCAGACAGAAGCCCCCACACGAGTCTGCAGATGCTGCTGCTGAGGTTAAGTGTCGGGAAGCATGGGCGTTCTGAGTGCTGAGGCCTCTCAGCTCTCCCTGGGGAATATGCTTCTGCCCCCAAGAGCCCTCCAGCACAGCTTTCTGCTCCATCACCCACTGTCTGCATTCCGACTCAAAGTGTGGGCACTAGGAAGACCGTGAGTCAAAAAAGCACGAAGCACTAATATTGAAAGGAACTGTAGATATCAGAGCAGAGAGAAAGAGAACATGAATCAATACATGTGATTTTATTGACCAGCAAGGAGCCAGCTCCGTGATGAAGAATGATGCTGGCTGTGTGGCCTGCTGTCGTGTTGTAGCTGAAAAGGCAAATGGCTCGCGTGCCAGGGATGAGAAAGAGGCAGGTTCCCCAGCGCCACAAACTCTCCTCGATGCCGGGTGCGGGCTTCCTCCCATATTCTCCGAGATTCTGAACCCTGCACCCAGGACCGCAGTGCCACCTCACAGCATCACTGCCACCTACTCTCCTTGGGGTTCTCATCTGAAGAGCTTCCTTGGTGTCTGAGAGAATCAATGACTTTCCTCCTTTTTCCCCAACTGTGTAATCAAAAAGGCTCTCATTCTGAACCTACTCTCAACTGGCTCTAGGCTGGTTCTCTTGGAAACATTCTGGAAATCTGAACTCTGACAGCAAGCAGCTTGCCTTCCTCTGATTTTCATTACGCCGGTGACCACTGTGCTGCTAGAATTTTTTAAAACCAGGATGTGCCTGAGAACCAAATGAACACGAGAGGTTGGCAGAGCAAACCACGGTGCCCTCGGACCTTGGTGAGGAGCAATTAGTCACAAGTTTTTATGCAGCACTCTGGGAACTGAAGCTGGTAGCTCAATTCACTACAGGTGCAAGTCACAACTCACAAGACAGGCCCATCAGTCAGTAATGTTGACTCAGCACCAACAGAAAGGCAGTGTCTGATGCTTAGAATGACAAATAAAGTAGCAGATTAGACTCAGCACTTAAAGCACCACCAGCAGAACAAGATACGAGAAATACACAGGAAAAAAAATATGAGCAAACTTCTAGGACTATACTGCCAACCAAGCAGCCAGCCCATCAATGAATCAATCAATAATATCCAATGGTAACCGACACCAGCCCAGTGCTCAGCACCAAGCAGGCTGAGTCAAGTGTAGAACAGGCCTTGCTCACGTCCAGGCAGGTCAAGGTCTGGGGCATTCCAGAGCACCATGCCTCCCTGTGGAGCTTCTCTTCAGGCAGACCCTCCGTCCCTCCCTGCAGGGCTTTTCTGGTGCCGAGCCTCCCTGCGGTGGGAATGAATTCAATTCAGGCCAAGGCGCTCATCTGCCGGTCAGACTTCCCCATCCAGTCCAAGAAAAGGAAAGCAAGGGAAAGAGTCCGAGGAAGTAACACACCAGGATGAGGGTGCAATGTCAGGGACTGGAGGAAGACGAGAGAATTGACATAACATATAATGGATGATGGGGACGGGGGAGTGCGAGGATTGGGGGCTCAGGGTAGGGGGCTCGGCTGGTGCAATTATGGCATCAACTGTGTATCCCGGATTGACACCCTCAGCTGCTGCCATGCGCACTGGCCAGGACACACATTCCCTCCCCACCTGGGCTCATTCTTGGCTCTGGGCTATACGCAATTTCATGGTGCTGACCATAGAGGGGCTGGCAAGGAACTGTGGATGGAGCAATGAAAATCTATCAATCAAAGCAACATCATTTCTCTCACCTTATCACTTCGTTGGTCAAGAGCCTGCAATGACTCCCCACTGCCACCTACAATAATATGTTGTATCTTCTTATAGAACTATGTAGAATATAATGTGTACTGTTCTTGTAGTTCCCAGATGTTCCAGGTGTGACTTGATCTGGGCTTATGTTTCCCAGTGTCTTGCTCTACTTGTTGGGACTATCCCTTGCTTGAGTTATTCTTACTGTGTTGCCCACAGGCCAGGCTCTTGCTGCTGGGAGCTTGTGGTCCCATTCCTGCCTCAGCCTCAGTGCCCTGCACCCTCTCTGCCTATCCCGCTGTAAGCACCTTCCCGGACCAAGCTCAATCCCAACGTTTCTCTGCAGCCTCTGCATTTTGCAGGATCCTGCTTTGTCTAAATGCTCTCTCCACTTGGGTCTTCACTTCCCCTCTCAGCATCTGGCAGTGCACTCAGTTCACTGTTCTCTATTCCATGCTTTTCACCCTTTCTCTCCAATTAGATGACAAACTTCTTACGGTGGCCTTGTCCCCTGTGTCGGCTGCCTCCACCTCTACCCACACACCAGAAACTTCCACATCACCAAGCTCTAAGAGCACAGAAGACACCTGGTCAACGTTTAACAACTGAAAATAAATCCCACCGACTACAGATTGCTCTAAGGAAAAGACATCACATGACCATCAATATTACTTCACTTATCTGCATAGTCTCCTATGATGTGGGCAGCTCAGAGACCATGGTATTATCTACCAATCCTCTCGTTTGACTTGCATATGAGGAAACTGAAGCTCAAAGAGGACAGTGATTCCCCAAAGGTCACACAGCTCAAGATCCTAAGTCTCCTGCTTTCTAACTGAATTCACTGCACCCTGCTGTGGCCGATGGAACAAGCCCAATCCCGTGCACACGCAGCAACAGGGACCTCCAAGAATGAGAAGACAAGAACGAACCATTGTGATGTCTGGTCGTTCCTGCTGTTACACATCCTACGAAGGAATCAGAGAGGTCCAGGTTATTCTCCCCATCATTCCAGTTCGTTTTTACTAAGGAAATAAGCCGTCTCAGACAAAAGATGTCCCTCTCTGGTTCCAACGCCTCTCATAATTGTGAACTCCAGCCATCTAGTTAGGAATCTCCTTGGAGGAGTTTTATAGCTTCTCTTAAAGAAGTTGCTCTTGATTTATGCTGATCACGTCTGACAGCCACCGTTTCTCTTAATAATAATCATAAATAAGCAAGACAAGGTCACCTAACCTGAAACGAGCACGTCTCCACTGCCACATCCATCATGGAGCCTGGATCTACAGCAGCTCATGACAAAGGTCTTCTCTTGGCACTCCACGTGAAATCCCATTTCTAGCACCTGCCCTGGCATTTTAATTTTACACCGTTTTCCTCCAATAGCCTTACCTAACCAGAGACTCCTAGAGGACAGCATTTACGAAAGCACTTAGCCCAGAGCAAGGGCATACGCGGAGCCTGCTGCCTGCTCGTCAAGCAGTTTTTTTTCTTCCTCTTCACTCCAGTGTAACCGCCAAACCAAAAAATAAAAGTCTTGAGAAAAAAAAAAAAAAACCTGTGAAAGCCACGGAAATAATGAAATGGACTGGTAGAAACAAGACAGTAAATTTGAGTGCATGAAAGCACTGTGGGACACTGAAACATACGTGGCCATGTGGCCACACATCGTCTGGACTTTGAAGACCAAGCCTGCGTGGATTAGAATAACAAGTGTTCATTAACCAGGTACTGGGAAGGCCGGCAGCTGCTTTCCTGCTTGTTATTTTTACTACTATCAATACGTTTCAAGCCCTTGGCCCTGGCCATAAGACACAGCAGCCACTATGTCACATGGAATGGCTCTGCCTTTTCAACTTGTCTTAAATGGGGTTCTGCTCCAAGTGCTGTCTCTGCGATGGAGGGGTGAAGTGAAGCAGAGTCAAAGAGCATCAAAGACTGAAGAACCCCACCTGGCAAATAATAGACGTCAGCCACGATGATTCCCTACCATGCTTACAGCCTAACATCCCCATGGCCAAGCTCTGTCATCTGTGATGAGGTGAGCAGATGGGGCTGTCCATATCATAAAACTACATCTGCATACCTACATGGTCCCTTAAGATGGATTTCTTTGATTCTAGGAAGATGACTGTTTTATAATGTTCACTGACCACAGCCCTTACATTTGGGTTGGAACATTCCAGAGTTTGTGCTCGCCTGTGATGGGAGAACAGGAAGAAGCCACCCCATGACTGACAGAACAAGCCTGTGGGGCAGTTGCTGGAGCAGTAGGAAAGGGGAGACCCTACATCTGTCACTCACCCCATCTTTTACTTCCAAAGATGCTGCGGGCACTGATCCCTGCAGGGACCTGGCTTCTGAGAGCGTGTGAAGAGCCTAGTGTTGCACAGAAGGGCAGTGAGAGGGCAGAGGGCAGGCCAGGAGGGCAGGAACCCGGGCCGCCCTGGCTTCAGCCAAGGCATAGAATTGCATGTGGGGCTCTGCGTAAGTTTCATTTCGTTTTTTTAAGCCCTTAGACTAAAGAATGAGCAGGGGCAATTTCTTTGGAAGCCACTTAAGAGCAGAGATGATTCCAGGCAAAATTCTCAAGTAGCTTCAGTTATTCTTGGTACCTTTTGCCTCTGTCTTTTTCTCTCCTTACCATCCTTTCATTTCACCTACCCCAAGACCTCCAGGGCCACCAGCTGTGACCTGGGCCCTCTTCTCCTTGCCCATCATAACTGACTGTCACGTGCCACCCAAAACTCTAATTAACAAGTCAGTGGGCTTTATATATTAGCTCTTCTGGAGTATGTGCCTTTTGATAGGAGATTCTTAAAAATGGCAAAGACTGCCTGGGTGTAGTGGCTCATGCCTGTAATCCCAGGACTTCGGGAGGCTGAGACGGGTGAATCACTTGAGGTCAAGAGTTTGAGACCAGCCTGGCCAACATGGTGAAACCTCGTCTCTACTAAAGATAGAAAAAGTAGCCAGACATGGTGGTGCATGCCTGTCATCCCAGCTACTCAGGAGGCTGAAGCAGGAGAATCGCTTGAACATGGGAAGCAGAGGTTGCAGTGAGGCAAGATCACACCATCGCACTCCAGCCTGGGCGATAGAGTGAGTCTCTCTCTCTCAAAAAAAAAAAAAAAAAAAAAAAAAGAAATGGCAAAGACTGTCTCCAAAATCATGCATTTCAGGTACCATGGTATGTGCAGTGTGGAGGGGGGGCACGGCAGCCCCTGTGGCAGGTGTGCAAACGTGACTGTCCACAAGTATGTTTGGGGTGGAGGTGGAGGAGGGGCCTCGACCATTGCACTTTCAAAGGGACAAACTGTGCTTTATCCACATCTCTGAGAGAGGCTGCCAGAGTCTTGGAGGCCACCAACCTCACACAAGGGGCATCTGAAGCCACTAGGTCATGAGGGTGGGTACCCTCACCTGATCCCTCAACAGGCGCTGAACAGTCCACAGGATCCTTGGTTGTGGAGCAGAGGGGCACGGGGTGAGGGAACGGAAGGCAGAAGAGCCAGGCTTCCCCCATAGCGAGCAGGTGTGGGTCACGCTGCCGTGTGCATCAGGGCCCCCGCCTTTCCACCCTGCTGAGCACCAAGGGATTCACGGTCCTAAGGCTGATGACGGCACTCAGTCGGGCAGTTTCTCACAGAGGAACCCTCCGCGGTGATGTCCTGGTGGAGCCCTGCAGGGTGCCGGGCCGTGGGAAAGGAGAGGCCAGGCCTGGACGCCCTCTCCCCACGGGCACGGGACAGCCTGGCAGTGGGGTTCGGGCAGCTCGCCCACCCGCCTCCTTCCTCACCCGCGTCCCTGTGCCCAGCCGCCTACCTGGATTGGAACGTTTCTTCGGAGCCTTGAGGCTCCGGCACCTGCCGCCCACGGAGCTGCTGTTCTCGCTCGTGGAGTCCTGCGCCGAGGACGCGCTGCCGGTGGCCTCGCTGTCCCGCATCATGCTCTCGTAGCCGCTGCTGCCGCCGCTGTGGTAGAACAGGGCCGTCTTCCCCATGGCCGGCGGGAGCTCCCCGCTCAGCACGCTGCTGTTGTCGCTGCCGTGGCCGCTGCTGCAGCGGTGGGGCCTCCGCGGGGGCGTGATCTTGCTGTAGGGCGACGGGAGCAGGTGCGCGGCCGCGGGCTTGTCCTCAGCCAGGGCCGCCCCGCGCTCCTCGGCCTCGGGCCCGGCCCCGGCCCGCAGCTGCAAGCCCCGGGCGCCCGTGCTACCCTGTAGCAGCTCCGAGATGCGCCCATTGACGGCCCGCAGAGGAAGCTTGGAGGCCAGGCCTGAGCTCCGGTTCCTGCTGAGGGACTGCGTGGACCAGGACATGTGCTTCCCGCCGGGGGGCAAGCTGGAGCTCTGGCCCACCGCCTGCGGCAGGGACTTGGTGGAGAAGCTGAGGGTTTTGGTGGTGGAGGTGGACAGGCTGCGCGCCTTGGGGCTGGTCAGGAGGAGCTTGCTCACGGCGGAGATCTTGGACTGGCTGGCCTTGGGGGAGGCCCCAGAGCTGGGGGGCGAGGTCCCGGCGCTGCGGCCCAGGCTCCTCCCCGCGCGGGGCATGGTGCTGTCCTTGCCTGCGTGCAGCCGGGAGCTCACGGAGGACAGGCTCTCGGCCCGCTCCAGGGAGAGGCATTCGTAGTGGCTGACCGTCGCCCTGCCCAGGGAGTTGGTTCTGCTGGCCAGCTGCTCCAGCTTGGCACTGAAGAGCTTGCTGCTGCTGGCGTCCTTCGTCTTGCCGCCAGGCTCATCTGGGAGGCCCGCCAGGAAGGCGGCTGGTTGGTTCAGGGGGCTGCTGGTGCCGCTGCTGCTGGCACTGTGCTGAGGGCTGGCCCGGTTCTTCTGGTCCAGGCTGGACTTTCGGACAGGGGGCAACGGGGGAGTCCCTTTGGGCCGAGCCAGGACACAGTGCTTGGGGGAAGCCACCTTCCTCTCAAGGGTAGCCTTGGAGGGCTGGGCGCCCGAGGCTGCACCCACCCCGTTGGTCTCGGCAGCGCAGTAGTAGAAGAGGCTGTCCGGCTCCTCCTGCCGGCTGGCCTTCTGAAACGCCCTGGGAAGGCTGCTGGACTTGACGCTTTTGTTGGGATGCATGGGGCTCTGGGTGGCCAAACCAGGCAGGGCCATCTCACACCCGTCCACGACCCTCCTGAAGTTGTCAGTGACGGCGGAGGCCGACACCTCCCCGCTGCTGCTGCTGAGCCTGTCGCCCGGGCTGGGCTTTCTGTCCTGCTCCTGCTCAGCTCTGGTCTCCGCGTTCGAGGCGCCCGTGGCAGTCTCACACCTAATCCCTTCTTCGCTGGGATGAGCATTCTCTTTTTTTACTTCCTCTTCTCTTTTCAGCCAGGGGTCCTCAAATGTCATCTCTTTCTTGCTACTGTTTTCCTTACTCTCCTGGGACTGGGCTAATATGGGGCCTGCTTTGGGGGTGGCAGTGGGGGCCTCGGGCTCTTGGACGTTCCGGGGACTCACGGCAATGCAGGGGTAAACCGTGATGTTGGTCTTCATGGGGATGTACCCCTCACAGCTGCTCAGATTGGCCGTGTTGGAGATGGTGACCATGGCCTTGCCCAGGGTGGATATTTTGCAGCCTTTGATGAGGGTTGCTTTGTTGAAAGAGTCATCTCCCATCTCAGATGGGATGAGCAAGTTGTCGGGGCTGGCCTTGGGCCTCTCTCTGCACACCACAGCGCTGTTCTGGATGCCGCTGACGAACTCCGAGGACGCGGGTTCTGCCATTGCCTCCCCGTGCCCAAAACACGTCTGGGCTATGAAACTGTGGCATGACTGCTCCCCCTCACTGCCCGCACTCATCTCGCTCAGCCAGGAGCTGATGGAAGAGCGTCTGCTCCCTGCCTCCTGGGCCTTCTCCTCCAGGCTCATCTTCGGGAGGGGCAAGAACTGTGTGATGCTGACCTCGGAGACGGGGGCCATGCCGGAGTAGCACTCTAGGTCCTCGCTGATGCTGCTGATGATGCTGACGGGCCGCGAGCCCGAGGCCAGGGCCTGCACAGAGCAGTCGCTGTTGAAGCTGATGATGCTGGCGGGGCGGCCGCTGTCCAGGACCCCGCTGATGGTCAGCTCCTCCACCAGCGTGAACACCAGCTCATCCTCACCGTTTAGCTCCAGCGGCTGCTGCACCGTCACCATCGTGGTGCTCAGGATCTCCTTCTCGGACTCTGGAGGAGTAGCTGCCTGCTGCTCATCATCGACAGGAGTTTCCGGGAACCCTTCGCTCCCAGCAGACATGGATTTTTTCAAAACCTGGGGGCTCATTCCAACCGGGGGCGTACGCACCTCGGGCTGCAGCAAGGACTCACTAGACGCCACGCCAGAATCCTTGCCCGAGGAAGGCAGCGGGGCGGGAGATGGTAGGACCCCCTTCTGGGTGTAGACTTTGCATCTCTGGGAAGGAGAGCCGGGTGGCTTGTACTCCGAGGTCTTGGACAGGCTGGCGATGCCCAGCCTGGGGGAGCCCATGGGCCTGGGCTTGCCTTCCACGAAGCCGCAGGAGTTCAGGCTCTCCCGGCTGCTCTGGAGGCTGCGGCTCTGCACAAGCGGAGAGGCGCTCTGCTGGCTGCTGCTGCCTGGGATGCTCCTGGGCGAGGCCGGGCTGGGGCTATGGGCGGGTGCTGCGGTGGGCACAGGTGAGTGACTCCTCTGCATCTTGGAGGCTGGGATTTCTGGGCCTTCTCTGTCGGTCCGCTGACCTTCGGACCCATTATCTTCCTTATCAGACTCAGAGAGTGGGCTTGCCCCAGCTGCTTGGCTTAACGGGGGGCCTCTGCTTGCCTGCTCTGGCCCACACTGAGCAGGCACTTCTTCAAAAGAAAACCTGCTGGGCTCCTCGCTGCCGTCGATGCAGTCCAGCCTCTCCTGCAGCTCAGCGAACGTGTTGCACTTCAGGCAGTCCCTTTCTGACTTGCCGGCTGCAGGCTCTCCTCCCTCTGCAGGCCGGCTGTCGCCCCGGGTCTTCTGCAGGGCTGGCACAATAGGGACAAAGTCTGGGGGGCCCTCGTTGTCGGTGAGCTCCTTGTCAGAGAGGGCCGTGCCGTTGGGCCCGATGTAGATGACGGTGTCGCAGGACTGCTCGCTGCTGGAGGAGTAGTCGGGGTCGCTGGACAGGTGAGCGATGGGGAAGTCGGGGTCCACCGTGGCCCTGGTGTGGAAGGGTCTCAGCTGGGTGGGCCTGCGCATGCGGCCTTCTTCACAGGAGCTCTCCCCGCCGGAGGAGCTGGATGTGTACTGTGAGAGAGAGAGCAGTTAACGTGGCGACCCTGTCATGGCAGTTTCCCCGGGAGCCCAGCTGTGTGTGGCAGGTGGTGGAGGCCCCTGACCGGACGCGGGCTACTGACGGCCACCCTGGTTGACCTCCCACATGTGGGCCACTCAGGGGGTGCCATGCCAGCGTGCCCAGTCTCACATCACCGTTGCATTTGGGAAGGGGAAGCCCTGTGTGGCACACTGGGGAAGCAGAAGCTGCTCAGGAAAGGAGGTGACCATCCAGGCCCCGCCTCACCAGCTAAGGGCTGCTGGGTCACCAGTGTTTGGCACCCTGTGCCATGGAACACTGGTTAGGAAGCACTATTTAAAGATAAAAAAGGTACAAAACGGAGAAGGAGAAAAAAAGGCCCCCACATCAGCAGCTGCCCCTGCCACTGAGTGGCCGCGATCACGACAGTTTCCTCAAATACTGGTCACCCTGCCACTGTCCTGGCTTGGCCTCCGCCTGAGAAAATGAGCCCAGTGATTTCTAGCAGACTCGGTATCATCCAGGAACCACTGACTGCCAGGACAAAAGCAGCAGCCAGGGAATGACTCCTGGACATGCAGCAGGGGAGAGGCCCTGAGAGCAGGGAGCTGAGAATACTCTGGCGCCAACCCTGTGAGGGACACAGTCTCCATCTACACAGGACCAAGGCAGTGCATGAGAAACACAGTATTTTCCATCCCTCCAGTGTTTTTCCTCTTGAGGTAGCAATCCATTTATAATCTAAAAGCGGACCAAGTGCTTCTGGTCAGGGGTCCAGGCTGGGTGACCGGGGCCAGCACCAGGTGTGGGGAGGGGACATGACTTTGTATCAGCCCCAAGGTTTCCCTGCCCCAAAGTGGACCCTGAGCCACGTGCTGTCAGCTCCAAGTCGCATCTCCTGATGCTGAGGGATTGGCAACATTGATTTGGCTTTTTCTGACTCCGTTCCAGGGCACAGCTCCAAAGACTCCCTCATCCACCACACCCCGCTGTGACTCCTTACCTTCGTCTTCTTTTTCTTCATCCTCAAGACTCGCGATGCAATCTGGATGGTGGACAAGGTCTCTGCGTAGCTCCCGGCCGCGGCCGAGATGTGTGCGATCATGGTGGTACGGCAGTTCATGTTCCCCAGAGACTCCCGCAGCAACATGGCGAGCTTGCTCTCTCTGCCAAACAAAGTGAATTAGGCTGCATTAGCGGCCATGCTTCCCTGTGGTCCTCAGGGCAGGGCTTCAGGCCTGCACATGGCCATTTTGTTGTGGGTGGTGGTCCCCCCCTTTTTAATGGCATACTAATTAGCATCGTTTTCCAGCATGGGGCCATTTGTAGTTGGCAAGCACTGAGCAAGTGCTTCTAACTCCAGGACGGGATTCATGCAAAGCACCTCCCTTGGCGCTTCTGTCCTGGCTGTGATGGGTGTTCCTGTGCGTGTGTGTCTATGACATTACACATAATGAGGCCTGGGAATAGAAACGAGAGGACGGGATCTGGAGAAACAGCTCTGTGACTGGTGACTCGGCATGCTAACTGCACGTGTGGCCTTTCTCCAGGGTTCCCACACACAAACAATCCCACACAAAAAGAGTCTCCCTACCAGGGCCCTGGATTGAAGATCTATGAGTTTTTAACACCTGCACAGTTCCTTTAGCCAGGAAGCTGCGGCCACTTTATTGGCATTGTCCCTTAACTCGCATATTTGCACCTAGGAGCAGTGAAAGAAAAGGCATTCCTATTCCTGAAGACCAGGGGAGAAACAGAGAGAGAGGCCCAGCCAGTCACTCAATCCACAACAGAAAGCAGCACTTCCTATGGAAAGGCTTCCTCTGGGGACTCTGCAGATGCTGTGTGGGGCCACTGCCCTGAGTGGTGATAATGAGGCCCTGGGGTTTGCAGGGAGCGTTGCTAAGTCTTTGAACTGACCTGGAAAAATGGTTGTTTTTCTATTCCTATACTCGTCCCAACATTTTTCCTGCCTTGCCTTTAAAGGCCTCTGCTTATTTCATCATCAGCACTCGTTCTCTCAACTGCTGCCAAATGTCATTGCATCTCTGGCACGTTCCCTGATCCTGAAGGATGAGGAAGCCTATTTCCCATGCCGCGTGCTCATATATCTATGCTGTGTCTGCGATGCCAGATGAGAGGAATTTGTCCCACGTCCATGTCTCATCATCCAGCCCCTGCAAAGCTCCCTGGAGAGGGACGATCCAGCTCAGCAGACACTGAGGGAGACTCAGGCCACTGTCAGCAGAGAGCAGACCATCTTACGTGACCTGCTTCTGGCCTCAGGGAGGGAAGACTGTGGGGTAAGAGCAATAGCTTTTCCTTCCCATCGGGGACCAATTAAGGTGTGAGTTTGGAGACGCTGGGCTCACTAAGGCTCAGTTCCAGAGCAATGTAAGAATATACCAGAGCTTCCCTTCCAGCAAAATGACCAGTGATGAAAGTGGTGAGGTACGGGGTATAGAGGAGGAGCAAGAGCTGTGAACGTTTAAATCCCTTCAAAATGTTGTCTATCTAGCAGAAATTCATGGACAGCACACTCAACGAGGAAGCCAGACCCCATTCCTGGAATACATTTTTTGCAGAGACACTGCACCTGGATGCATCTTGGGCTCTGTCTTCCATATGGGCAGTGGAGGGTGAGTTCTGCTCGGCTGGGTTGTGATCATACAGTCAGGTCTTACATGAGTAGTGGAGGGCGAGTTCTGCTCGGTTGGGTTGTGTTCATACAGTCAGGTCTTACATGAGTAGTGGAGGGCGAGTTCTGCTCGGTTGGGTTGTGATCATACAGTCAGGTCTTACATGAGTAGTGGAGGGCGAGTTCTGCTCGGTTGGGTTGTGTTCATACACAGTCAGGTCTTACATGAGTAGTGGAGGGCGAGTTCTGCTCGGTTGGGTTGTGTTCATACACAGTCAGGTCTTACATGAGTAGTGGAGGGCGAGTTCTGCTCGGTTGGGTTGTGTTCATACACAGTCAGGTCTTACATGAGTAGTGGAGGGCGAGTTCTGCTCGGTTGGGTTGTGTTCATACAGTCAGGTCTTACATGAGTAGTGGAGGGCGAGTTCTGCTCGGTTGGGTTGTGTTCATACAGTCAGGTCTTACATGAGTAGTGGAGGGCGAGTTCTGCTCGGTTGGGTTGTGTTCATACAGTCAGGTCTTACATGAGTAGTGGAGGGCGAGTTCTGCTCGGTTGGGTTGTGTTCATACAGTCAGGTCTTACATGAGTAGTGGAGGGCGAGTTCTGCTCGGTTGGGTTGTGTTCATACAGTCAGGTCTTACATGAGTAGTGGAGGGCGAGTTCTGCTCGGTTGGGTTGTGTTCATACAGTCAGGTCTTACATGAGTAGTGGAGGGCGAGTTCTGCTCGGTTGGGTTGTGTCATACAGTCAGGTCTTACATGAGTAGTGGAGGGGAGTTCTGCTCGGTTGGGTTGTGTTCATACAGTCAGGTCTTACATGAGTAGTGGAGGGTGAGTTCTGCTCGGTTGGGTTGTGTCTACAGTCAGGTCTTACATGAGTAGTGGAGGGCGAGTTCTGCTCGGTTGGGTTGTGTTCATACACAGTCAGGTCTTACATGAGTAGTGGAGGGCGAGTTCTGCTCGGTTGGGTTGTGTTCATACACAGTCAGGTCTTACATGAGTAGTGGAGGGCGAGTTCTGCTCGGTTGGGTTGTGATCATACAGTCAGGTCTTACATGAGTAGGTTGTGTTATAAGTAGGTCTTACATGAGTAGTGGAGGGCGAGTTCTGCTCGGTTGGGTTGTGATCATACAGAGTCATGTCTTACATGAGTAGTTCTATAAAATGTTTGTGAACACTGAATTTGTAAATACTGGGCCATTGTTCTTAGGGGAAATATAGTTTGGTGTAAAAGTAATTATGGTTTTTGTCATTTCAATTACTTTTTTTTTTTCTTTTTTTTCCTAAGACAGATTCTTGCTCTGTCACCCAGGCTGGAGTGCAACGGCACGATCTCGGCTCACTGCAACCTCCGCCTCCCAGGTTCAGGTGATTCTCCTGCCTCAGCCTCTGGAGTAGCTGGGACTACAGGTGTGTGCCACCATGCCCAGCTAATTTTTTGTATTTTTAGTAGAGATGGAGTTTCACCCATGTTGGCCAGGCTGGTGTCAAACTCCTGACCACAGGTGATCTGCCCACCTTGGCCTCCCAAAGTGCTGGGATTACAGGTATGAGCCACTGCGTCCGGCCCATTTCAATTACTTTTGTACCAACCTAATATATGGTTTAGGTTTCTGTGAACCTCTGATGATAAAAGTTTCTTCAATGGGTCAATACATAACCTTGTTAATAAGATGCTTTGTTTAATATGTTTCTTCAAAATAATGAATTATATTCAGTATTTCTCTAAAATAAAACACTAGCCAAGAAGGGTTTAATACTTTCCTGCCCTTTGGTAACATGATTAAATTTCTTTGGAGTCTAGCCTCACACCAATGCTATCTATTGCATTACACTTTCTCAACATCTGATAAATCCACACATTCAATCACTTTTTATCTCTTCCATCGCTTCCTCATGTACTATAGGTGTTACCTTAGCACTTTCCAGAGTGGTCCCACATACAGATGGGCCAAAGGCACATGCCCCTATCTCCACGTGACCCTGTGTAAGTCCCCAAGAAAACATACCAAAGACTGGCCGGGTGCGGTGGCTCACGCCTGTAATCTCAGCACTTTGGGAGGCCAAGGTGGGTGGATCATGAGGTCAGGAGATCGAGACCATCCTGGCTAACATAATGAAACCCCATCTCTACTAAAAATACAAAAAAATTAGCCGGGCGTGCTGGCGGGCGCCTACAGTTCCAGCTACTTGGGAGGCTGAGGCAGGAGAATGGACTGAACCTGTGAAGTGGAGCTTGCAGTGGGTCAAGATTGTGCCACTGCACTCCAGCCTGGGTGACAGAGCAAGACTCCATCTCAAAAAGAAAAAGAAAGGAAGGAAGGAAGGAAGGGAGGGAGGGAGGGAGGGAGGGAGGGAGGGAAAGGAAAGGAAAGGAAAGGAAGGAAGGAAAGGAAGGAAGGAAAGGAAAGGAAAGGAAAGGAAAGGAAAGGAAAGGAAAGGAAAGGAAAGGGAAGGAAGGAAGGAAGGAAGGAAGGAAGGAAGGAAGGAAGGAAGGAGGAAGGGAAGGAAGGAAGGGAAGGAAGGAAGGAAGGGAAGGAAGGAAGGGAAGGAAGGAAGGGAAGGAAGGAAGGGAAGGAAGGGAAGGAAGGAAGGGAAGGAAGGAAGGGAAGGAAGGAAGGAAGGAAGGAAGGAAGGAAGGAAGGAAGGGAGGAAGGGAGGAAGGAAGGGAAGGAAGGAAGGGAAGGAAGGAAGGGAAGGAAGGAAGGGAAGGAAGGAAGGAAGGAAGGGAAGGAAGGAAGGAAAGGAAGAAAACATACCAAAGACCGGATAAAAGGATGTAATGTAGTGACATCAAGCTGGCTGCCCTGTGCACTTCTTCTTCCTTTTTCTGGGTGTGCATATTTTTGATTCGTTAACACGAGAACCCCCATGAGCACTGTAGCTCCTGCCTGAAAGAAGCATATCTAACACATAGATTTTCTCCATAAGGCACATCACAGCCTTCTTGTGCTTAGGGACCCTAAATAGGACATCAGCACCATTCTTGGGGGCTGTTTACAGCAAAATCACCACCAGAGAGCACAAAAATATGAAAACCAGCACTCAGGAGACTGCAAAAAGGACATGTGTGCACGGTATGAGAGCCGAACGTGAGGGCAGACCTTCGCGCGCTCCATCTCGGCGGGGAACGCATGCATCTGGTGACTCAGTGTCTTCACCGCTCTGCCTCTGTCCGAGAATGGCTGTGAAACCACTGTCTTGACTTTGGGGTTACAAGTACATTTCAGTGAGTAGGTGAATGTGCAAATACAGAATCTGCAAATGATGAGGACTGCCTGCACTCTGAAGTTCCCCGTGGTCTTGTTAACCCACTGCAGGCAGCTGAAGGCACGTCCCCTGGGTCTCCGTGTGACATTCCCCAGGACGACAGACCAAAGACAGAACTGAGAGAGAACACGGTGATAGCAAACTGCCTGTCCTGTGTATTTCCGCGACTCCCCACGCGTGACTCGATCATATGGCAAAATGTTTACGGCGATTTTTTTTAAGCCTACACTGTGGAAAGAAGCAGCGCGTGTATGTTGCTTAGCAACCGGCATTTTAGCTCTCCTTGTGGAAGGCGAAGCGGTGGAGCTGCTGGTGGGCCCTTCACGCGGGCCTCTGCGGACTCTAAAAGACATCCTTTGGGGAGTAAAACATGGTGTACAGAAAGCCGCAGCTTTCCAAACCCACGACGATCATTTAACGTGGAACAAAGACAACCAAGTAAGGGAGGGCAGGGGAGGGAGGGGCAGGGTACTAAAGGCTGCAAACTGTAGGAGGAACTCGGAATCTTTGGACGGAAAGAGACAGGTTCAAAAGAGTTTCCAGGGCAACGGTCAGCACAGACTTAGCCCACTCTTTGCATCAAGTCTGAAAAGAGAAGAGGGAGAAGAGTTCAGGGCCGCTGGCCACTCGCACCCCAGAGCCAGGCGGGAGGGATGGAGGAAGGTGGTGCCTGGAGGGGGCCGGGTGGGGAGGCCCTGGCTATAGAGGACAGGTTGGGCAGGCACAGGAAGGGACTGGGGACGCAGTGGAGCTGACAGGGGCCTGAGGAAGGACCGCGCTGCTCTTTGAAGTAGCTGTGTTTATGCATACATGTTTCACTTCCCGCCTACACTGACCACACTTGCCTTTGAAAATAACATTTATGCTGGGCACCGTGGCTCATGCCTGTAATCCCCACACTTTGGGAGGCTAAGGCCGGCAGATCACCTGAGATTGGGAGTTTGAGACCAGCCTGGCCAACATGGTGAAAAACCCCATCTCTACCAAAAATGAGTATGGTGGCGAGCGCCTGTAATCCCAGTTACTCAGGAGGCTGAGGCAGGAGAATCACCTGAACCCAGGAGGCAGAGGTTGGAGTGAGCCGAGATTGCACCACGGCACTCCAGCCTGGGTGACAGAGTAAGACCTTGTGTTGAAAACAAAAAACAACAGACTTTTAGAAAAATGTCTTTTTAAAATCAGTTAACACTTTTATTAAACAAGAAAAAGGACAAGAATAGGATAATGAACACATTTTAATAAATAATCATTTTGAAAGGCATGAAAGAGCATGTGGCACAGGGGCTGACCAACCAGGGCCCTTCAGGCCCAAGCCAGCACACTGCCTGCTTTTGTAAATAAAGTTTTATTCAAACACATCCACATCTATTTGTTCACATAGTGTCTGTGGCTACTTTTGTGCTACAGTAAGAGTTGACTGGTTGTTAACAGAGCCTATGTAGCCCACAAAGCCAAAAATGTTTGCTGCTTGGTTCTTTGCATAAGCAGTTTGTTGACCCCTGCTCTAGAGTAATGATGAAACAGTATCGTCCCAGACACTGAACCACCAAGCAGAGAATGCAGGTGTCTCTTGACTTCCTGATGACACAACAGTCCATTGCTTTGGGCAGCAAAAACGGAAATAGGCACATGAACTGTAGGCACACAGCCAGCCACACACACAGGCATGCTCTTTTCTAGAAAAGGGAGAGAGTTTTGTCTTGCTTTTTTTTTTCTTTTTTTCTTTTTTGAGACGGAGTCTTGCTCTGTCGCCCAGGCTGGAGTGCAGTGGTGCCAGCTCACTGCAACCTCCGCCTCCTGGGTTCAAGCGATTCCCCTGCCTCAGCCTCCCGAGTAGCTGCGACTACAGGCATGCGCCACCACGCCCAACAATTTTTGGTATTTTTTAGTAGAGATGATATTTCGCCCTGTTGGCCAGGATGGTCTCAATCTCTGACCTCTTGATCTGCCCTGCCTTGGCCTCCCAAAGTGCTAGGATTATAGGCGTGAGCCACCGCACCAGGCCTGCCTTGCTTTTTTTTTTTTTTTTTTACAATACCTTGGTTGAATTTAAGGATGGAAACTACACACACACACAGATTTCTTACATGCATGAGATAGCCAAGATTACAACTAATATTTAAATGCCAAGAGAACACTGACTGGTGCCACTCACACTCTTAAGGCCAGCACACTGAACTACATCGATTCCAGTAAGCATCCCACGCTCTATCCACTTCACCTGCAATGTGCCAGAATGCATCAGAGAGCGATGGAGATGCTGGATGAGGGTCGCCAGGTATCAAGCCAGCCCCAAGAGTTCTGAGCTCCCAGCCCTGGGCCCCAAACCCTGAGCCCTGCATTCACCCTCTCACCACCAGGAGGCGCTGCAGAGTGAAGAGGAGAAGGAAGCAAGACCAGAGGGGGGATAGAACCACGGCTTTGAAATACATGCTGGTTATTCAAATCTCCTCCTCGCCACTGACCCTGCCTCCTTCCTATGTACAGCCAACTATCTGTGAAGATCCTTTTCTTTTGTCCCCTGAAAGGTCACCAGTGACCCTTGGAGACCAGCCTGAGATGCCAGGGACCAGGGTCCCAAGATGCCACCATCCCTGGCCCAGTGCTCCTGGCCAAGGTAGGCAGCATCTCTGCAGTTCCTTATCCCTCATGGGAAAGGCTGTTCTCAAGGGAAACCATCACCAGCTCTGCTGAGGGCAGTTCTGCCCTGATGGGTCTCCTAGGTCTCAAGCAAGCATCTTCATTATCTCTGACAGTGCTGAGTTGCGCCAGACTGAAACAATACCTCCAAGGGGGAAAGTCACTTTATTTTTATTTTACTTGAGTTTACTTATTTCTAAGGGACTTGATGATCTGGCTGCCCATGCCTGCTTCC